TGTAGAAATAGAGGGTAGAATGGGGATTACCAGAGTCTGGAGGAGGGGAAAAGAGAGATGTAGGTCAAAGGGTACAAAGTTTGCTTTATGCAAGATGAGTAAGTTCTGGAGATCTAATGTATACCAGTGAGACTATAGTTAATAATGTTGTATTACATACTTGGAATTTCCCTAGAGGGTAGATCTTAAATGTTCTCACTAGCGGAAAAACAAAAGGAAAAAAATGGGAAAAAGGCAAGGCAAAAAATGGAAAAGGAAAACATGGAAAAGGAAAAGAAAGGAAAGGAAAGGAAAAGGAAGGGAAAGGAAACAAAGGAAAGGAAATGGTAACAATGTGAGATGATGAATATTTTAATTAGCTTCATTGTGGCAATTATTTCAGTGTTTATAAATATAAAGAAATCAAGTCATGTACCATAAATATATAAATTTTTATTATCAATTATGCATTATAAAGATGAGTGCAAAAAATTAAAAACTTCAACTCAAGTTCTTCTGTAATTTTGATACTTAAACTTTTATTACAAAATTTCAAATGCCCAGTAGGTAATAAAAAACCATTGAAAGTTTGAACTAGGAAGTGAGACTTCTGTGCCTTCAGAGTACAGCAGTGTAAATGACTAAATAAGAGAAAGTATTCGTGAATGCTAGAAGAGTATTTAAGAGCCACTACAATTGAGTAGTGGTGGCTGAGGGAAAAATAAGAGAGGTCATTGTGATAGTGGACATTACTGCTTAGCATGTGAGAAATGCAGAAACTATTCAGGTTTTCGGCCAAAAAACAACACGATTTTTAGAAATATTTATTGTGATCCTTCCATGTACTCTGTGCTGTTCTTAACATCCAGGAGCAAAGTAGTAAACAACACAGAAGAGATGTTTGTCCATAAAGAACTTATAGTTTATAAGGGAACACAAGAATTAAGAAGAAAAATGTTTGACAAGTGTTAAGATGGAGAATCTCCTAGAAATGATCAGAACATAAATAATGACAGCTGACCCTTAATGACTATCATATGCCCCACTCTGTTGTAATCATTTTCATATATTTTTTTTTCATTTAATTACACAACATCCCAAAGAGAGAGATGCTTTTTTCACCATTCTTATGTTACAAAGATGTACCAGGGGAACAGACAGATTAGATAATTAGTACAAGGTGTTATAGTTAGTAAGAATGGAATTAGGAAATTCAATATATATACCCTCTAACACCATAGCCCCTACTCTTTTCTATGATAAGAAGAAATCAATAACCTCAGTTACATAAATGTTATATATGACAACCCAACAGGACACTCAGGTAGAAATTTCAAATAGGTGTTTAAAAGTTAAAACTTTAGAAGGGATATACAACACAACAAATTATTTTGGAGTGAGTTACTGTAATATTTGAAAAAACAAAAATTGGTAGAAGAACTGAGGAAGCCTGGATGCAGAACCTTTGCAGAAAATATTTCTATTTAAAATACGGTAATAAACAGGGAATGAAACAATATGGTAGATTTCTTTTAAGAAATGATGATAATAGGGAGATGGGGATTTACTTCAGATGCACACCGAGGGAGGTACAATCCCCTGAGTAAAGTGAAAATGAGGGAAGTATTGAGTCCCTAAGGAACTAGAGACTGATCATAGTCCACTTGTATAATCACCTTATTCCCCTTTTACACATAAAATCTACTCCCAGGGGAAAAGGCTGAGCAGGCTTCTACACTTATTATAACCAAGTGCATTAAACCATCAAACTCATTAAATTTTCTGTGTCTAGTCAAGTAGCAAATGTGATCATTATAAAGTCTGTTTATTTTTCTCTGCTACTTGAGAGAACTCAAAGCCATAATCAGAATATATAATCTGTAGTTCAGAAAAATTTACAAGGTATGTCTGAATTTAAGTATTCTCTTAGAATCAAAGGAATAAAAGCCTTGGAACCTGAAATTGCTTTTCCAAGAACACAAGAGTTAATACCAAGGATAAGAGAGCACTGAGATTTTCTCACCCATGGTGAGTTTCTAAATTCCATTCATTATAATATATTCCTTGTTTTCAGATGGAAGCCCAGGGACCTAAGATATGCCTTTTTCTTTGCAGTGTGACATTTTCTGAAATTCAAGTAAACACTGGTGAAAATTGTGTTTGAGGGGAGATCAGAGAATGTTCAGAGATACTATGGGGCTCAGGATGTACAGTCTCTCAGTTAGTAAGTTTTCTTTAAGTGAATAGAATTCTCACTGCTCCTCATTTGTGGCTTTTATGCTGTGACATAGGTAGGACAGTAACTTAACCTCTCCCTTAATAGGAACAAGACTCTGTATTAGAGTCTAGCACTAGATTCCTAGGGTTCCTATCACCAATATTATTAGTAAGAGGGGGTTCACCTGAGTAAAGAGATATTGAAATGAAAGAAAGACAATTCTGTCCTGGTCCAAACTTCTCGCTTATCTCTTGTTTTTGTTTGTTTGTTTTGTTTTGTTTTTCTGTAGTTATGTTTGCATATGGAAGAACTGGCCTTCCCTCTGTAGGCTAAGTTTGTGATGCACTTTGCTGTATTTAACTTACAAGACTCCAGTAAGGGAAACTTAGTGTCGTTTAGTATCTTGACAATGGTAAAAACTTCTTTGGGTCCAAGTTGGGGTAGTCTCAGGCATGTATATAGTCACTTGTAGAACAAAATACGGCAGGGATAGCTAAGTTATTCTCCATATAACCCTTTTCTCCTGTGTTCATAGAGTCCCTTGGAGAAGAATGGCTCTCGGAAATGGCTCAGTCGTGACTGAATTCATTCTCATGGGTTTAACAGACCGACCAGAGCTCCAACTCCCCCTGTTCTTCCTGTTTCTAGTAATGTATGTGGTTACTGTGTTGGGAAATTTGGGTCTGATGATTCTAATCATGCTGAATTTACACCTACACACTCCCATGTACTTTTTCCTCTTTAACTTGTCTTTCATAGACCTCTGTTACTCTTCTGTGTTTACACCCAAAATGCTGATTAACTTCATTTCAAACAAGAATATTATCTCCTACATGGGGTGCATGACCCAGCTCTACTTTTTCTGCTTTTTTGTTATTTCTGAATGTTATGTGCTGACATCAATGGCCTATGATCGCTATGTGGCCATCTGTAACCCACTTTTGTATAACTATGTCATGTCACCTAAAGTGTGTTCCAATATTATGCTCGGTTCATACTTGATGGCGTTTACTGGTTCTATGGCCCACACTGGGTGCATGCTGAGACTGACATTCTGTGATGTGAACACCATCAACCACTATTTGTGTGACATCCTCCCAGTGCTCAAGCTCTCTTGCACCAGCACGTACATCAACGAGCTTGTAGTTTTCATTTTGGTAAGCGTTAACATCACTGTGACCAGTCTCACCCTCTTTGTCTCTTATGGCTTCATCATCTCTAGCATCCTACGCATCAGCTCCATGGAGGGCAGTTTGAAAGCCTTCAGCACTTGCAGTTCCCACATACTTGTTGTTTCTCTCTTCTTTGGATCAGGTGCATTTATGTATCTCAAACCATCTTCTACTAGGTCTCTGGATGAGGAAAAAATCACTTCTGTCTTTTACACCAATACAGTTCCCATGATGAATCCTTTAATCTACAGCCTGAGAAACAAAGATGTTAGAATTGCCTTGAGAAAAACTCTAAATAAGAGAAGGTTTTGATCAGAAATAATTGTGTGTGTGTGTGTGTGTGTGTGTGTGCAGTTAGTCAGAAGAAATGGAGATTGAGTGTTTTTAATTTTAATTAAAAGTTTTATTGTCAACCTTCGATTCTATTTATCATGTTGAAAGAAATCTTAGTCTTCTCTCAATAATTTATTTGCACTTTTCGAGAGTGGGTCTTTTCTTTTTTCTCACCATTTGCACAATTTCTTTTCCTCATCCTTTTTTCACATTTAATAATAATATTAAGAAAGGGATTTATTATCTTCTGAATTTTCTTTATTATTTTGAACATTTATTTTTTCTCTCTGGAAATAGAAGATTGATTTACAATCAAATCAAGGAACATCAGGTGACATAATATTATGGGAATGTTTTAACTGTCATTTGCCATTGGAAGGAAAAATCAAACTATGTGCTTCTACTCCCATCCTTATACTCTGCACTGAGCAAGAACATGTTATTTAATGCAAGTCATGAAAAGCTCCATAGACACTGTAAAGTACAACCTCGTTTGCACTGGTAGACACTAGGCATCATGCTTTCTTTGACATAGGGTTTTCTTATCACTGCATACTCACCTCTGCACATAACAGGCTGTCAAAATAATTTTTTTTCACAGATGGGAAAGTAAAGCTCAGAGTGGTTAATTATTTACTTACAGTCACATATCTTAATTTAAAAAATGTAAACTAAATCTTAGTCTTCTGACTAAGCTTACTTTGCTTTCTCATATTCTTTGCTACTCTGTATTCTATTATTTTTATTTCAGTAATCATGGAATATGAAAAAACATTATTCATTTGAAAGTTGAATGTGCTTTGCTCCAAGATGACATATGAATTATTTGTTTTTGTTTTTTGTTTGGCAAACAATTTGTTGGTTTTTATTTTTGGGAAAGAGGAGAATTTTTGTGCTAGAATAGCTGAGAAAGATTGACTCAAATAAGAAAGTATATTTTCAACAAAATTAAAAAAAAATGAATTTTGAATGTTTGAAAGTTTTTGTAATTCTAAGAATGAGATATGAAAGACAAAGGAGCCAAGAACATGTAATTAGCTCAGGACTCAACAGGACACATGGCCAGTAAATAATTTTGTTTTTTTTTTTATTGAGGAATGGTCATGAGGATTTAAAAACCACATTTCAATATGAATTTTAACCTGTTTTATATAGTCCTATAAATATACAGTCCATACATTATAAACTTATAATGCACAATGACCATACATAAGTAGTTTTTTGAGGAATGAAGGTGGAGAAGCTGACCAAATTTGAAGAATCAAATATAGAGAAGATATTTTTCATGAGATAAAATAGTGAGCAGTAATTAAAACTCAAATTGGGAAAAACAAATGCAGAAAGTAAAATGTTAGATAATAAAAACCATTCTTGACTTTTCTTGCCTGTCTGGAAGGCCCTAGCTCTTTACTACTTGGCAATTTTATACAGCACAAAAGAAAAATTAACTAATATATTTCCATAGCTTAAACACATGAAACGTAAAACTACTAAAAATATTAAAATATTTTCCTTCATGAATTGTACACTTGAAACCTATATAATTTTGTTAACCAATGCCACTCCAATAAATTTAATAAAATAAATGAATAAAACAAACAAATATCTATAACACTTTCCTAAAGTAGAAAAAAATATACATAGGGATATTTTAAACACAAAATTTTGTGTAGTGGTGACCACCTCTGGACAGAGCAAAGGGATAAGAGAGTGAAAGAACACAACATTTATTAGTATTTGTTAATTTTGGTTCTTTATATTGATTTTAGTTTCAAGGGTTTTATTTCATTACTATATTTATAACTTACATTTATCTCATGTATAGGCATTTAAAATGTTGACTATTAGAAAATAATAATAGAACAGGTTTAAACTTAGAAGAATATTGCTAAATATGAGCCAACAATAAACATTCACAGTTTTACAAATCAGTAAGAAAGAGATCAATGTTCTCAGCATATAAATAAGCAAATGTGATATAAATAAGCATATAAATAAGAATAGCAATTGTTTAAGATGAAAATAGAAATGGCTAACAAATATATGAAAAACATTCAATCTCAGTAGTAACAAAAAATGTAACTTTAAACAACACTGAGATACCATTTTCTTCTACTGAATTGTCAAAGATCTGAAAAATAATTGCATCCAGTGTTGGCTGACATTATAACAAAAGCCATTCTTATATACTGAATAAACCATAATTTATTTGGATGACAGTTGAAATTTTAAAAATTTAAGCACGTTATTTCCTCTGACATAGCAGTCGAACACCAGGACTCTCCACCAAAGAGATAACCAGAGATGCACAGAGTCATTTACCAGACATGGGGGACTCAGTAGAATGTCACCATAAAATGTGACTGTAGGTGTGCTGCCCAGACTGGGGTCCTGCACTTTATTTATGTAGGACTTCCAGTGGCCAGAATCACAAAGCACAACTGTATGCTTATGAAATTCACTGTTCAAATCAATTAATAGTTTTTGTTTATTAATAGACATTTTACTATCTACTTACATAGGATTTCCATTTTAACCAGCCTTCCTTTCCTATTGTGGAAGTTTCTTCAATTTTCCATGGGTCTTAGGGTACAGAAACCATTTCATTTCATGGGAAATATACTATCAAGGGAAAAATAAAGGAAGATATTTTTAATTTAATATTATTTGATAGCTGAAATTTATATCACTTTTCCTCCCAATACCTCTTAGACTTTTTAGGGTGCCATTGCAAAATATGTGAAATATAATTAAGTTGCCGGCAAGTACATTGACTATTTCTTTTTTAATTTCTCAATTATTATAATAATTAAGTCGAAAACGTATGAAAAGGATGGCGATGTTAGGTTGGGTTATGTTACGAAACTTTAAAACATTTTTAAATTAAAAAATCACAATACATGTGGGTGTTCTCAGTATTTTTTTAATTGTTAAAAATGAAAAACATTATAAGTGCTCAACAGGCAATTGATTGAACAGCATGGTAAAAACATTCAATTCGATACTGTGTAGACTTCACAACTTATTCTGTAGAAAATAGTATAATGAAAAAAATGTATGTATATTGTATACATGAAAAAACAAATTGTAATCATGTAATATACGATCAAAATTTTCAAAATGTATATTATATATGCATGTGGAAGTATGTATATGCACACATTAATGTACTAGATACATAAACACATATACGTATGTGCATTTATTAAATCTACAGCTTTATGAGTCTAAAATATTAAGAATAATTTTTACACTTTTTATTAGTTTTATATTTTCTACAATGGTCATATATTAGTTTTAGAAATAGGGAAAATTTTTAAAGATAATGCAAACTAAATCTCCTAGAAGATAATACAAGAGAAAATCTACATGCCCTTGGGTTTGTAAATGATTTTTATTTTTTTATGCAAGGCGACCCTTGGTTGACCTCACAGATCACAAGAACCTTGTCAGCTTACAATCTCTTAATTTTTTATTTTTTATTTTTTACCCCTACAGCACCTGGTCTTCCTAGGTTGTCTCCCATCCAAGTACTAACCAGGCCCGACCCTCCTTAGATTCTGAGATCAGATGGGATCAGGCTTGTTCAGGATAGCATGGCCACAGACAGATGATTTTTTTTATATAAAACATAAAAGGCATTATCTATAAAAGAAAGAACTGATATATTAGACCTCATTAATATTAAAAACTTCTCTTCGTGAAAGTCACTGTCAAGAGAATAAGAAGATGAGCCACAGACTGGGAAAAGATATTTGCAAAGGTATATCTGATAAAGGCCCATTATCTGAAATATACAAAAAAAATCTTTAAAACTTAAGAATAAGAAAAGAACCACTTGATTTTAAAAAAGAAAAAAAGTGGTGAGGATGATCTCAACAGACACCTCACCAGTTGGCAAATAAGCATATGAAAAGACAATAAATATGTATCAGGGAATTGCAAATTAAAAGAAGACACACATCTATTAGAACAGCTAAAATTCAAAACACTGACACCACCAACTGCTGACAAGGATTCAGAGCAACACGAACTTTCATTCATTGCTGGTCAGAATACAAAATTGTATAGTCACATTAGAATACAATTTTAGTGGTTTCATACAAAACATAATGGCTCTTACCGTACGATCCATCAACTGTGCTTCCTGCCATTTACCCAAAGAAATTAGACACTTACGTCCACACAAGAATCTGCACATGGACATCTGTAGCAACTTTATTTATAATTGCCAAAACTTGGAAGATACCCAGAATACCTTCGATGGATGAATGGATAAACTGTGATATGTCCAAACAATATTATTTGGCATTAAAAATAAATGAGCAATCTGGTCATTAAAAGACATGGGGAAACCTTAATAACTACGAAGTGAAAGTATAGCAGCCAACCCCGCCTAGCCATTTCCTGGTGGAACTAGTTCGTTCCTGATTGCCCTGCCCCGCATCTCAAGGACTCTCCAGCTAACATCAGTTTTCTCATGGCTTGACAATCAGTTAATGTTCTTCCTTATATCTGTAGCTGTGTAGGAATGACAAGACTGCATAAAACTGCCTGGTATGTCACAATCTGGGCTCGGCCTTTGGATAAGAATCCACGAAACTGGTGCTGGCATCAATCAACACTGCTTCCTGCTTATAGCCTCAATTTCCTGGCTCTCTTTGAAAATCCTGCAACAAAAAGAGTGGGAATTAATGCATGAGAAGGGAAAAAGAAGCCATGGTCAGTTATCTAAGTCAACCACAAGTCTTTAATACAAAGGAAACTTCAGGAGTGAGCAGCTAGGTTCTTTATCTAGTCAGGAAGCTGATACTATAGTTGAGATAGCAGCCTTTGAAGTGCATGGCTCTGCAATCAGAAGCTTATTATTATGCATTTGAATTATAAAACAAAAAACAAAAACCCATCAGGAGCTTACACTACATTGAAACCATTTCCAAGTGAGAAACATTTTATACTATGCTAGGAACCCACTTAGA